TCTCTCTCTCTCTCTCTCTCTCTCTCTCTCTCTCTCTCTCTCTCTCTCACACACACACACACACACACACACACACACACACACACACACATTCGTGGAGGGAATGAGAGAGAGAGTCTGGGGTTCCTGAAAAGGCACACATTCCGGTCTTGCTAGCTCTCTGTCCTGGCAGATTTGAGCGGCTAGGATTGGGCTGTTTGAATATGTTTTGTTGGTTTTTATTATTATGCATGGCCTAATGGTTTGCCCTGCTTTAGAGCATGATGGATGTTTATGGGTGGCCACAAGTTTCTTTAAGGGCGAAATCTATGTTTTGTGGGCCGGCGCGGAAGGTTCTCCAAGTTTTCTGGGACCCTTAGCAGATGGGGTCTGTGTTTTCTCGCTGGAGGAGTCTTCTGTCTTAGGTAAGTTGTCTTTTACCTTAGACCCCTTTGGCAGTGACGTGAATGGGTAGTTTGGGATGAAAGTAGTGCCAGTGTTGTCTTGTGTAATTGAGTTTGTGGTTTTGTGGGCCGGCGCAGAAGGATCTCCAAGTTTTTTTTGGACTTTTAGCTGGTGGTGTCGGTGTTTTCTTGCTGGAGAAGTGTTCTGTCTTAGGTAAGTGCCTTTTGCCCTCCATCCCTTTATGGAGTAAGAAAAAATAATATATAAAATATGTACGTACTACGTACATATATCGTCATATGTGCAAGTGTGCCGCTTCGGCAGCAGACGGGTGTGTGGGCAGTTGGTGCTGAACCACACAAACGTGGCCAACCTTGCAGTTCTTTTTTTATTTTTTTTATTTTTTTTTATCCATGGTGTAGTAGAGCGCGAAGGCCAGGCCTCAGGAGGTCCCCATGGTACTCATCCATTGGGAGGTCAGATGAGTTGCTAGGCTCCCTAGGGGAGTCACCTCAAGGTGGCATCACAATGACATGACCTATACTAGTGCTCAGATCGCAAGTCGTGATCTGTGCCAACGCTTACCGGACTGACCCGAACGTCTTCGTGCAGACACTACCCTGACTCTAATGCCAAGGACGACCTGGGCAGAGGTGGGGTCTTCGCGATGCGGTCATCCCCCATCTGTGCCTCATCCCACAGACTCGAGTAGGCAGCAAACCACACTACCTTTCCACTAAGGTGCGATATCCCTCCTTCCCTCCCTGAGTATGATTCCTACCTATCCCAGGCTCCCCCTTGAGGGCCCTAATCCAGCTGATTCCCCCCAATGAGTATTCCCAATGGACACCATCCTGGATGAAGTGCCATCTCACAGGTATCGGATGGTACCTGTGGGATCGAGAATGTCCAGCACCCTACCCTGTGCAATGACTTGCTGTTTTCTGGTCGCCTGTAGCCTCTCTCTGTCGAGGCTGTACCATAGGTAGGGTAGATTCGTAATTTTGTTTGGCTGAGGGCTAACCGAGAGACCTACCTGTAGTGGGAATTCATGAGGGACGTACCTGTAAATTTGGGAAAAAAATACAGGCCTAACACTAACTGAATTTCCTACTACTACCCTAACTACGAATAGCAGGCCCGAGCTACCCCTAGGACAGACAGGTCCTAAGGGCCTATGCTGATAGACGGTCCTATAGCCTATAGCCGGGTACAGTAGAGGCCGGGAGGCCGAAACTGATACGGTACCGGTCAGTCAGTCAGTCCGGTCTAGGTCGAGTCTCGGCTAGCTGTAGTCTATCGATAGAATGGGCACATCGGTCCAGGGCTTTTGGCAGTCGGTACCAAGTACATCGCTGTTGCCCTACGCGTGAACCGGAAGTGGTGACGGCTCAGCGTGGAAGGAGACAGGCATAGCCAGACCTTCGGAGCGCCGGCCATAGCTGGGACCTGCGCTGTACTCTGCCAGCACGTAGGGGCTGTCAGAGGTCTGGGCTATCGAGGTCTGCTGGAGGCGAGAGAGGTTGGTGCCCTGCTGGACCCTCCTCCGGAGTGGGGTTCCAGGGTGGTGGCGCTGCAGCCATAGCTGTAGCTTCTTCCTCAGAGATCATTTTGTCAGGGTTTGGTGGCGCTGCTGCAGACTTCCATCCGGGAAGTCTTCCGACACTTCGTCATCATCAGATACTGTGGTGCTGGTCTTCTTCTTCATCCTTTGAGTGGCGCTTGGCCTCAGAGGCCTGTTTCAGGGTGGCGCTTCCCTTTGGAGGTTGTATCTAGGTGGTGCTTGATGTTTCAGGGGCTCAGGGATGTTACGAGTGTCTAATCAGGGTTGGGGAGTGAAGCGCTGCTCATTCCTGAGCAGCGCATTGTAGTACTGAAGTTATCCTGACATTTCGAGACTCTGAGTTTAATAAACAGTGTGGAACTGGGTTTGGACTATCATCGTTTCATTGCTTCCTGGATGTGATCTGCTCGGCTTTTCTTTATGACTGGTTGTGAGGATTGAGTGGAGTGAATTGCACTTTCAAGTGTACCCTGTCATATTGCATGGTCAAGCCTTCCGCTGTGTTTATCTCTCCCTGTGCGGTGTGATACTCCTATCCTCTCCCCTTCCTTTTGTGTATGTATGGGCATACCTGGAAGTCTATGTGTGCGAGTGTTGGTCTCAGACAACAAACAACTAGAATCATGATAGTTGGTATCAGAGCGATTGGATCCAGACTCCGGAGCAATTGATGAGTTGGAGCACCCATCATCATGTGGCGAGATACTGGAGTTGAGTCTCATGGCGATTCATCATCTTCAGGGTTGTTGTCAGTAAGGGTGGTGGTAGTGAGTGTGTGGCGAGAAGAATTGGACAGAGGGTGACTCACTCCTGACTAGGGTTGTGCAGGAGTAGTTGGCGATTGGTGCTCAAAGGTCTGAGAGGCTCTGGGAGGCTATTTTTAGTCTGGCGATTCATCTGGAGGTTGGCGATTGGCAAGGAAGTGATCCCAGGAGTTTGCGATTTTGGAATTGGGTCAGGATCCCTAATTTCCAAGAAGCGCAGTACAGGGTGATGTGGCGCTGCACTGACTTTGTCAGTTTGGCACCTGGGAGTCCGAATTCTCTAAATCTCTCAGTTGGGGGTGACGCGCCTCAGGGTAATCTATTGGATCACCAAGTTTCAGGCAATTTGGTATGTGGGAACACTGGATACTGTCAGGAGATGAAACTGGCGAGATGGGGTTGACCAGTCAGCCATAGCCAGGGTTTCATGCATCTTCTTCACAGTTGATCTTGAAGTAAGTGTGTTCCTTACTCCAGCCTGTGTGGCGATTCTAGGGCTATTTTTAGAATAGCGAAATTTGGTTTGTCTGTCTGTTTACAGTTAAAAATCGAATTCGGACTGTGGGACGACCATATCCAACTTCCCCTACATATCTTCTTTGACTTCTACTAACCCTGTTTGACCTTGTTTCTGACTCACATTTCATCTGTGACTGCTTCACTGTATTGCGGTTTATATTGTGTAGTGAATTGGTGAATTCAGGGTCCTGTTTTCAGTGATAGTGCAAATTTTAATTCCGCTCTGACATAGCTAAAGCTTGGCTAGACTAGGGTCAGTCATAACTTTGATTATGTCTGTCAGAATTCAATTCTACCAGTCCCTGGTAAATCGCAATTTAGTATACAATGTCTGTTTGAAATCACACATCCAGATTTGATGTTTTGAGTCAGTTACAGTGAAAATTGTAATTCGCCATTCCCAGGGTATGACATACAGGGTCGTACAGTGGTGAAGCCTGTTGGGTAGGTCCAAAAATAGGGTAACCTGTAAATCGCTGCATCTTGGTTATCAGTGGACATCTGTCAAACCCTAATTAGTCACCCTGTCTAATTACTAACCAACACTGATCAGTCCAAGACTGCATCCTGTTAGTTATTGAAACAAGATTTGCATTTATTGCATGCAATTGTTGTGTCAGGGCAGGGATGGGAAAATCGTGAAATTGATTTTTTCGAGTCTGCTCTTAACTGACCCTGACCGTCAAGTGGTCTGTAGAGGCTGAGCACTCACTTGCTCAAACTAACCTACTTCTCTCTCCAGGCAGGGGACAACAATTGGGTGAGTATTGAAGAGAAATCCCAATTCCTGTTACCTCCTTTTT